GTGGCGTTTTTTTGAAAATACGTCGCAATAGGTCTATCTATAGTGACGTTTATTGGAAAAATACCATTATACATATACTTTTTTGGGGCCCTGCGCGATCGCGCAGTTTGCGCCGCCCAAGCCACGCCCCTGATACCAACTAACCAGCGGGAGCAGCGGAATGTTTAGTGATTTTTAAGGATGGTTAATGAGTGAGCTCATAGTGAGCGACTCGAGTTCATCTTGGTCAAAACTCGATTAAAATTTGATTTGGGTTGATTTGATTTAGATTTGAGCTCGATTCGAGATCTTAACTAACTGAGTAAAGCAAAATCAAACTCGACTCGAGAAGTTCACGAGCAACTCATTAATTTTTACTAATTATCTTAAGAAATTATTTCATTCAAAAAATTACTAATTTGTACCCCTAGTATTTTTATTAATTTTTTCAATAGTGTGAGATTATAATATAGTATAAGTTTAAAATCTTTTTATTTATTTATTAACTATGAACACATATTATAAAAGTATATAAGCATGGGCACAAGACTCACATCCGGCGGGTTTTGACCCGATCCAATTTTTTTGGGTTGGGATTTTTTAAAAAAGAATTGGATTCAAGTTGGATTAGGTCTGATTTTTAGAAGATGTGTTTAGGTCGAACTTGAATTTAGGGTGAAAAAATACTTGACTCGATCCAATGAAAAATATAATTTTACGTCATATATTAAGGAAAATTGCAATAACACCCTCTATATTGTTTTTCAATTAGATCCTTATTTTTTATTGAATAAAATTAATATTTTATAAATATTTTGTTTCGAGTCGGATTTAGATATTACCTAAAAAGGTAAGTCGGGTCCGAGTTGAGTGAAGTCACCCTAGACTCGGGCCCATTCGAGTTTCGAGTGAAGGATGCATATGTTTCAAGCCGGCTCGGGTTGATCTGAAACTCGATCCAATCCGACACATGCTTATCCCTAGACGCAGGTGCTTGAATTCAGAATCTAAAAGAAAAACAATATTTCATTTAATCATTGAATCCACTTGATGAATTCATATTAGAGATTTATTAGATTTATTATGAAGTTAAAATTATCATATAACATATGGAAGAAGAAAAAAAGACAAACTTATACTTGCAAAAAAATTTATAAGTTCAAATTCGCTATATGATACAAACACAAACAAAATAGGCGTCCGTTCGTGGACATCACCCTCGTCCCTCTATGCAAACACGTCAATTGCATGGCCAGAGAGGCAACTCGCTAAACCATTCACACAGTAACACCCCCAAGGAATGGGATGCCTTAACGTCAACAACCTTTATGTCCTGGTCGAGTTAATCGTGGGTCACACTGTTGGTGTCGTCTGCTCCAGTATGTTGTCCCGAGTTGATTGGTGTCCTTGATTTCAACATCTTTGTTGTCAATGTGAAAGTTTGGATGAGAGAAAGCTTCGATCTTTCATAAAAGTTTACCTTCGCCGCTTTCTGTTGCAAAATAACTTTGGTAAGAGACTCTTATGCCTATAAGTTTCGATCTTTACACAACCGTTGTCACTGCGTGTGAGCTTTATCCTTTGCTTGAAAGCTAGTATGAATCCGACCCATATACGACCTGTAAAAGTTTCAGCCCATACACATGTGTAGGCTTGATAGTAAGCTAAAACTTTTACCCAACCTGTTAAAGCTCAAATTTGTCCAAGCCCAAAACATTAGCCCAAAGCAAATCGAACTGGTCCAATCAAGCCAAGTTGAGTATTTGAGCCCAAATAGAACACAGAAGCCCCAAAACCATTAACCCATTGTAGTAAAATTCTTTTTGCATAAATTGTTAATTGATCATCCCCTTTTGAAAGTATATATCAAATTATCCCTCAAGTGATTGATCAAACCCTAAGAATTCACGAACCAAGTAACCTCAATGGTAATGGAATTGTTGTTATTTTTTGGGGTCTCGAGTTTGTGTATCAAGAAAGTCAGAAATGTGAGTGTTCAATATTAAATGATTGAGAATTATCTTTGAACAAATACGATCTTATGTTTATCCCATATTAATTAAAAAAACTATAGTAGAAGAAAGGGGGCAGGTAGATCTGCCAACCACAAAATGATTGTTGGGTGAGACCTCTCTTGTGTTGGATAAGAAATTTCAGAATAAATGGAAAAGAACTTGTGAGGAAGATAAAACAATTATGGGTAAACTATGTATTTAGTGTATAAATTATCAGTTTTAGTACCTAAAGTTTCATTTTTTTAAATCGTACATACATTTAGTTTTTATTTCATTTAATATCCCGCCATTGAAAACTTAACGTGTTTAGTACCTAAATTATCAATTTTGGTCCATTTTAGAACCTAAGCTTTCAATATTTTCAAAGTCTAACGTTAAATTCTGAATGGGTGTACTAAAATAAACTAAAATTAAAGTTTATAATGGTGGGTACTAATATGAAACAAAAACTAAATTCCATGTATGGTTTTGAAAAAATTAAAAATTTTAAGTGCTAAAGTGGACCAAAACTAATAGAGTAAGTATTAAGCGTGTAATTTGCCCAACAATTATTTATCAGCTTATGCATGCTTTCCAAGGAACCGTATCAATAGCGACATATAACCTTCATCTTCAATGTTAAAAATAATATAACGAGAACTTTGATCTTTGTTTGTATTTTTATGTTATTTTTAGGGTTTATGTTCGATTCGTGATTGATATTATTAATAATATTAATTTTGAACGAATTTTTTTCTTGACAATTTAATGTATATAACAACCACATCCAGCACTTGTTGATAGGTCAATTTGGTTGGAGTTTATGATATAGTGATGTTAGAGTTTATGATTGAATTTTATTTGATTCGGTATGAAAAAATCATGATCGGACATGTTTGATGAAGAAATAAATTAGAACAAAAAATAGAGATAAATGGTTGGCTATGGTCTTCAGCTCAGGGATGGATCGAGGGGGAGATGTGACAGTTGTCCCCTAAAAAATTTAAATTATCATGTATTTTATATTAATAATTTATTTCGTTCCCTAAAATTTTATAAGTTCGATCTCCTTAAAATTTTAGAAGTTCACCTCGCAGCATAAAACCCTACGTTCTTTCCTGTTCAACATAAGGATATGATATGGTCTTATTCAACTAGGCTTGATATTGTGTACGAACAATTATATAGATATATGATTCACTTACATTTAGTGTAAACGTTTTAGTATTACACATAATTAAGATTGCTGAATGAATAAAAATAGAATGTTGGGTTATCTCATTATTATTTTTAAAGTGAATATCTTCTCATTTCTACTATTGATTTTAACAGTCTATTTTCACTCATCTAACGATTCTAAAAAGATGTAAAACTTTTAAGTTTTACACTATGTTAAAAATAAGGGTGCTTATCGAGCGAGTCGATCGCAAGTTGGTCAGTGCTCGACTCGTGCTTGTTAAAAAAATTTGATGCTCGACTCGACTCATTGCTCGTTAAGCTCGTTAAAATTGTGCTTGACTCGTGCTCGTTAAGCTCACTAAAAAATTACCTTATTTTTTAATTAAAAATAAAATTTACTAATATTATATGAAGATATTAGGGTTGGATTTTTTTTTGTATTAAAATAATATTATTAACTAATAATATTTTATTATTTATTAAAAAATAATAGATTAGTTAACTTATTATTTGTTAGTATTTATTAATAAATTAATAATTATTATTTAGATTTACTTTTTGAATGAAATAATTTTGAAGTAATTACTAAAAATATATTTCAAAAATTAACAAGTTGTTTGCGAACTTATCGAGTCGAATTAGACTTTGTTCGGCTCAGCTCGTTAAGGTATCGATTCGAGTTCTAGTTCGAGTTGAGCATTTACCGAGTTTTTAAACTCGTTAAGCACCCCTATTAACAAATCATGCCTTATATATATATGCACACATGGGATAGGATCCACTTACACGATGTAAAACTCTTTTATCTTTATACAAATTTAAGACCGTTGGATAAGTAAAATTGTTAATTAAGATGACAAATAGAAAATGAAAAGATATTCACTCAAATTTTTCTTCATATTATTTATCTTCGAATATAATAAATTTTTTCTTTACTCGTGATTCTTTTAAAGACTTTTTACGTAAGCATGTGTATCTTTCTTTATTATTATTTTACGATCGTTCACTCGTTATTATTTATAATAAGGTACATATTAAAAAGAATATATATTTTTTTAATATTTTCATGATATTTATCAACACCACAGACGTACACAAATTCCAATATCTTAAAATTTCATATATTATAAATATCACCTCAGTAGTTAACGTTAAGATTCCATGCTTGTCCCACTTCTTCCCTTCCTCACCAAACTCCCACCAGAAACTACCAGTTTTGCTTGAAACAGGCATAATCACCCAACAATATGAAACAAAACAATCAAGTGGTCCTTCAAACACACACGTGATCTCATCTTTCATATGAACATACTTTACCTTTCCAAGGTGCTACATAAGTTCATAATTATTATTCTTAATAATATGAGGTGATTATACGATAGTATCTGTTTAAAATATTTTTTAATATATTCACAACATGTACTCTTAAAATACAATTGCTTGAATATATATCTTTTTAAGAAAAATAACATTTCGTTTCACCGTTAAGACCACTGAATGAATTCTTTATTCTTTATCAACATAAGACAATCACACGGCGAGAAAAAAAGGATTTTACATCATCATCGTAATACTAAATAAGTATAATGTTAAAATTAGCCTCCAATGTTTAACAAAATGATAATTTTGTCTCTTATTTTATTTTTGGAGCATTTTGAACCCTAACGTTTCGTTTTACGGAAAAAATGCCCCAAACATTTGATACACTAATCAATTTGCCATTTATTCTTTTTTGAGGGCATTTTAACCCTCAACGTTTCGTTTTAAGTTAAAAAACGCTTTTATTTTGGAACGTTATTTGTGTTAACTAATAATTTTCATACGTAGAGGAAGCTTTTTGCCCTAAAGTGAAACGTTGGGATCAAAATACTCCAAAAAATAGAGGCCAAAATGACCATTATGATAAACATTGAGGGCTATTTTTGGCATTATGCCTACTAAATATCAAAGTTTCTATCCCATGAGTGTTTTCTTTACTGCTTCTGGTGATATTCTTGCAGAATCCATCAGTTTCTCATATGAATAATTGCTTGTAGTTCCTGGAAAAAAGGAGAAGAATCTGATGAAATTACGAACTTTAATTAGAACTTAATGCTCCACAACCAATGGAAATACTTCTATGGTGCGTTTGGTTCACGAAATGTAAGATTATCAGTGGAAATAAAAGATTACCAGGGAATAAGATTACTGGGAATGTTGTATTTTGTATTTGGTTGGTTTAGCAGGAATGTAAGATTACAGTATTTGGTTAAATGAATAAAAAATTATTGGAATGTATATTTTACCAAATTGTCCTTATTATATATTTGTTTTTTAACAATTTGAATTATACTATAATATTACTATAATTAATTTATATATTTTCTTTAAATATTTTAAATTCATAAAATTTATATAATTTTTTTACAAAATTTAAAAGATAAATAGGTTTAATGAAATGGTAAAATTTTATTTTAACCCCTGAATTTCATATAAAATTTTAATTATAGATTTTTTTTTGTAAATCTAAAATAGTTTAAGGATAAATTTGTTGGATAACCTTAGTAGAATTTTTATTACTCAACGACAGAAGAAGGATATTTTTGAAGAAAAAAAATTAAGGGCATTTTAGTCCAAAATGCCCTTAATCCAACAATACGTAAGGGAAGGGAGATAATCACATTCCCGGTAATATACCCAAAAAAATCCACTATTGGTAATAAAAGATTACCAAGAATAAGATTACTGGCCAACCAAACGATCTTCATTCCCCCGGTAATATCTTATGCCGTGAACCAAATGGCCCCTTAGGGTAAACTAAATATTTAGTCATCCAACTATTTTTGTAATTCCGTTTGTCACTTAAATATTTGTTTTTCAAAATCATATCTACTGTTATATTCTCGTCACCTACTATTTAAAAATAATTTTTTAGTGATAGTTTTTTCAATAATAATATGGTATTACCGTATGGTGACACATCAACATCATCACTGATAATTTTTTTAACTATAGACGATCAAAACAAAACAAAAATGTGATTCTTTTAAAAAAATAATAATTGAATGACCAAGAGATCCTATCACCTGTAGAAGATGCATTGCTTAACTGCGCTTGTGAAGAGTCACTTGTACATCTCGACAACCAAGAAGATTCTGCTGCCAAAAACCAGAAGGACCGGATTCTAAATTATACCAAAAAGATCATGATTAGGTTAAAAATAAAACTTGCTAATAAGTTAGCACCTGTTGATGAATTCAAAGATCTCTTGCAATGCAAAATGGCACTTTGGATGGCATCCTGTTGGAGTAAATCATCTTTCCGGTTGATCGGTGAAGCCGCCGTGGATAAGCCACCTGAGACATTTTTCTTGTGAGTTTGAATGTTGTTCTTGGAGACCTTTACGTACTTGGTTACATTCAAGTATGTTGTTATGATCAGATCTTTGGGTAATCTCTTCAATGAATGATCTTCTGTTTTCCCGAAACTATTTTTTCTGGTGATGCATGTACTAGTGCTCCGAGCTAATGCTCCAAGTTTCGGGGTTGATCGAGGCTTGGAGCTTGCCTCGATGGGGATGATCGGAGACAAAGAACCTGCTTTTTGGTCGGCTTTGACGGCGATGGTGTGGCCATTTACGTGGTGGTTGGACTGAAGAAAGGGCAGTTCCAAGTCGATGAAAGAGTTGTCTCCTTCATCGGAATGATGATCGGAGGCTAGAACCTGGGTCTTCTTCATCCAAAACCGGAGAAAATTGAGAGCTTCCATATGGAGAGAGAGAGAAAAGACAAGGAATATAAAGAAATTCTTTTACAGTTTCACTAATCAAAATCTAAGAGAAATTGCTTTACAGCTTTGCCTACGTTTTATGGGTGCGCTTGAAAATGGTGTCGCACTAAAGAGAGAAGTTTAATAAAGGGTAAATTACATTGGTGACCCTTTAACTATAAAGGGGTTTCAATTAGACTATCGATCTTTTAATTGTAATAATCATATCACTTAAATATATAAATGACACCAATCAAGTCATCTACTATTAACATTTGATGGAAGAGTTGATACGACAGTAATAAAATTGATATCATTATAGATTTAGTGATGTGTTTTATCATCTTATTAGAGGATTAAATGTATCGAATTAAATTAAAGGGTAAATTACACAATTAGTCTTTAAACTATTAGTTCTTATTTGTTTTAGTACATAAACTTTCAATTTTTCAAAACCATACCTAAAGTTTAGTTTTTATTTCATTTTAGTACATCACCATTAAAAACTTCAGTTTTTATTTTATTTTAGTACTTCATTCAAAATTTAATGTTAAGTTTTAAAAATTTGAAGACTGTATATGAAGACTGTTCAACTATGTATTTATTTATTTATTTATACATGCATTGCATTTTATCTTTATTTTTAATTTTCTGACTGCTAGAGGTCTTCCACGGAAGCTGCTCTCAACCTGGCGTTGGGGGCAGCCTACTACCCTACCTCCCCCTTACCCCATTACATATGAGAATAGGGTTTTGTTGTTGTTGTTGTTTTAAAATTTTGAAAGTTTAGGTACTAAAAGTGACAAAACTGATAGTTTAGATACTAAATGTGTTAAATTTTTAACGGTGGGATACTAAAATGAAATGAAAACTAAACGTCAGTACGATTTTAAAAAAAAATTGGAAGTTCAGGTACTAAAACGGACCAAAATTGATAGTTTAGGTACTAAATGCGTAGTTTACCCTAAATTAAAATTGAGATCAAAATGATAGAATATATAAGTAATGAATACTAAGTATGTAATTAAATCAATTTTTAACTATCACGTTAGCTCCTCCGTTAAATGATAATGATAAATGGTTTGACTAACATCATTTAAATAAAGTGATCTGTTTGATAAAATTGAAAGATAGATGGTCATATCAAAATCACTCTATAGGTAAATAGTGACATGTGTAGTTTACCTTTAGTGCAAGTGTTGATAATATATAAATGTTATAAAATATTTGAATTATTTTTATTATAATGTAGTCCAAATTTTATTGGTGGGGTAGCTTTGCTTTTGGATAATGTAGTAAAATGTAGGTATGACTGGTTTTGCTTGCAAATCAGTTATATTTTTGCGTGAAGATATACAGCTACACCACGAGAGGGTGAAAGTGACAAAATCCTTGAATTATAGATGTTGATTAGTTTATATAATTAATTTTTTAATTATAGTATTGAATTTTAATTTCCATTTTAATTATATTATTATGTCGTTAAATTACTAACAACATGATAATATAACTGATAAAGAATCACACCAAAATAATATCATGTTGATTTTACGGTTTTGATATTTAAATGTTCTAAAACGACATCGTTCTATTAGATAAATTTAAGAAAAAGAACATTAAATGCACTTCTAAGATCTAATACATTTAAAAAAACTAAGCACCCAACCACCAATTCAACTGAAAAGCTTGTTATGTTAATAACAAAAACAATATTGAAAAATTGGGTAGAGAATGCAAATCATACTCTAATTATATGATATTGTTTTATTAAGTTCCACGATTATTAAAGTTATAAAATAGTCTTTTGATTATGGAGTGTTGCTTTGTTGAGTCCCTCAACTATTAAAAGTTACAAAATGGTCACCCGACTATTCATTATGTTCTAGACTCGTCATTTTCCGTTAAAAATTGGTAGTTGTTTAAGTTGGATGTAATATGATGACTGAGACATGATAGTTGTTTGAGATTTTGAGATCAAATTTTAACATATAATCTATTTTAACAAAAAATATGAGTTTGGAACATAATGAATAGTCAGGTGACTATTTTATAACTTTTAATTGTCGATGGACTCAATAAAGTAATATCATATAATTAAGAGACCATTTGTGCACTTTAGCCTAATTAAAAAAATAACCCATGATATAAAAAAACTGCAGCACTGAGCGCAAGAAGAGCCATATATAAATCGTCAAACATGTATTAAGGCTGCAGTGATTATCGAATAAGTTATGGTCCTTGAAGCTCAAAGGTGGAATAGTCCCAATTCGGCCCTTTTTTCTGGGCTTTTGTGGACTCGAATGAAATGGTGTATGAATTTTCATCAACACCTTGGACATTTTGAGACCTTTTTCAAACTTGTCGACTCGATTTGTGCCTCCTTGGAGATTTTTTTTTGTTGTCGTTCTGATTTTTAAAGCTTCGTCTTAATTAATTCGGACCAACCTGGGTCACACACCTGATTATGGTGGGTGAGTTTCCCAACGATAATTTTCTGCATACACAAATACTCTCCCTTGAAGATTTTAATAAGACATAATGTAAACAAAATACACTTAAAATTTTATTTTTTGAAGTATTTTGGCCCTAATATTTCATTTTGGGTAAAAAAATCTTTCCGTAGATGAAAATCATTAGTCAATAAAAGGTTAACACTTTAAATTAGGGGCATATTTGCCCTAAAATTAAACGTTGAGGCTCAAAATGCTCTAAAATAAAAGAACAAGGGTCAAAGTTACTATTTATTTAAATGTTATAGGATCCTTTTACACTAAAATTAAACAACGGGGCTAAAAATACTCCAAAAAAGAATAAAATCAAAATGACTATTTAATTGAACATTAGAAATTTTTTTGGTATTGTACCTTTTAATAATGTAATACAACTTATATATAAAATTTGGTGATACTTGATTATGTGTTTGGCCCTAGAATTAGGGTTTGATTTCTTTCATTATCAACATCTTTAACTTTTTTTATTTTATTTGATAAATAAGATGGTGACACATGTTGTTATTTTATTTATCAAATAAAATCAATTAAAAATATCTCAAGATTATTAACAATAAAAGATAAAATGATTTGGAAGCTAAAAAGATAAAAATTATCATATCAATATTATCATTAATTTTTTAACTCAAATAATTAAAAACATAAACAAAATATAATATTATATATAATTTAGAAAAATAGTTGGATAGTCAAAATAAAAACATAAAAATAGATGATGTACTTAGGAGCATTCCGGAAGACCAAAGAGTTATCATAGGGGGAGACTTCAATGGCCATATAGGTAGTGCAACCGACGGGTATGACGGTGTTCATGGGGGCTTCGGTTTTGGTAGTAGGAACGAGGAGAGGCGTACGTTGATTGAATTTGCTACTGCACATGATTTGGTGGTCACTAACTCCTTATTTAACAAGAGAGATGCGAACTTGATTACGTTTCATAACGGGGGACGTTGTACCAAAATCGACTACATCCTGGTTCAAAATCAAGATTGATGGGCTTGCATTGACTGTAAGGTGTTCCCTGAAGAGGCATGTGCATCACAACATAGATTGTTGGTTTTGGTGTTCCGCGTACGCCACGAGCGGAGCACTCATAGGTGGGCTAAACTTGGTAAACCTAGGATCCTTTGGAAGAACTTACATGGAGCGACAACTGATGACTTTAGGAGTAAGGTTTTGTATAATACAGGTTTTGGAACTACAAACTCAAATAATGTAGATATGTTATGGAAAAATATGGCAAATTCTATCAGAGAGGTGGGCAAAATCACCCTTGGGTTGTCGACAGGGAAGGCCAAGGAACATAAAGAATCGTGGTGCTGGAACAACGAAGTCCAAACTAAGGTGAAGACAAAGCAAACTTGCTTCAAGGAGTTTCTACAATGCAATGATGACGAAGAAAGGTCGAGAGCTAAACAAAAATACAAGGAGGTAAATCGGGAAGCCAAGAAAACGGTGGCTAAAGCAAAGGATAAGGCATATGAGGAAATGTACAAGAGATTAGACACCAATGAAGGACAAAACAACGTCTTCAGGCTTGCAAAATCCAAGGAGAATAGGAAAAAGGATCTAGGTAGCATTAGGTTTATTAAGGACAACAATGGTGTTCTTTTAGTGAAAGATCATGATATTAAGAGGGTTTGGGGTAGTTACTTCTTTGGCTTATTTAATGGCGGTGCCTCTCCCTGTAGAGATAGTATCGTTGATGGGTCAGCCGACCATTATACTACGACCAATAACTGCCCTACAAGTAGGATTGGGTTTAAGGAAGTCAAAATGACGCTTAGAAAGATGGGAAGGGATAAAGTTTTCGGTCCAGATCAAATTCCTATCACTGTGTGGTTGGCCCTAGGAGAAGAGGGAGTTAAGTGGTTGACCAACATCTTCAATATTATTTTAGAGACTGCCAAGATGCCAGAGGAGTGGAGAGAGTCTACGAGGATACCAATCTATAAGAATAAAGGAGATCCCCAACGTTGTGGCAATTATAGAGGTATTAAACTACTCAGTCATACCATGAAGCTATGGGAAAGGGTGATAGAGGCTAGATTGAGACAGGTTAATAGGGTTTCGAAAAACCAATTTGGCTTTATGCCAGGCAGGCCTACTACGGAGGTGATTCATCTACTTCGATGGTTTATGGAGAAATATAGGGAAAATATAGAGATCTTCACATGGCGTTTATTGACCTTGAGAATGCACATGATAGTGTTCCCCACGATACGATCTGGAAGACCTTGGAAACAAGACAGATCCCAATTGCTTATATCCGGGTGATTCGTGATATGTACTGTAGATCTACTACATACGTCAGGACTACAGTTGACGACACCGAGGCATTCCCAGTGGAAATCAGACTCCACCAGGGGTCGGCTCTTAGCCCTTACATCTTCGCCTTGATTATGTACGACATCTATTGCGCGACACCAGACGGTGTACCATGGTGTATGCTTTTCGCTGACGACATTGTCCTAGTTTCTGAAACAAAAACTGAGCTGAATAGTAGACTGGCTACCTGGAAGACTGCTTTGGAAGAA